CCTCTGCCTTGTACTGTTGGGAGGCAGTGGTCCAAGAATCAGATGGGTGTGGATTTAGCTTTCCCTGCTTTGCACCCCTTAGGGAGGAAAACAAAGTCTATCTGTGACTTAGTTTTCCTAGTGGGGTCTACCCAGGTGAAGTTTCCCTTGGGGCCCTGGCTTCTTTTTCCATGTCCATCAGACTGTGGTTCCTGACAAGCTGCTTCAGCAGCCTGCAGGAGCTTTCCAGGCCCATCCTTTGGGTTCTGCTTGCTCTGTCTCCCTCATCAATGATGCAGCTGAAAACTGTGATCACCACTGGTTGGGTCCTGGGCTTTGTCACAGCCATATTTTCGAGGAAGGCGGAACTTGCTTCCTTGTTGGCCAGGGTGTAAACATTCAGCAGGTCAAATTTCCCTTCATCTGTTTGGAAGGTGGCTTGTATTGATCTGCTTGCAACAATGTGTTTGTGTTGCAGGGGGCATTCTCTTGTCTCTTTTCAGGAGGATTGTGACACAGGCTGCCAAGTTGTTGGCTCCTCTGCTCTGTGTGGTTGGACCATGTGACCAGCATCTCTCAAAGCATAGTTTTTGGAGCTGGGCAAGCCACGCTTCTGGAGGCAAATGATGTCTACTTGTAGCTGGTCCAAACATTGTTGAATGGTGTCCCATTTTTCCTTCTTTACTAAGCTTCTCACATTCACCGAGTCTATTTGTATAATAGAATCATAAAATCATAGAAAATTAGGGTTGGAAGGAACATCAGGTGTCATGTAGTTCAACCCCCTGCTCAAAGTAGGACCATTCACAACTAGGTCATTCTGGCCAGGGTTTTGTGAAGCTGGGCCTTAAAAACCTCCAAAGATGGAGATTCCACCACCTTTTTAGGTAGCCTGTTCCAGTGCTTCACCACCCTCTTAGTTACAGAGTTTTTCCTAATGTCCAACCTAAACTTCGCTTGCTGCAACTTAAGACCATTGCTCTTTGTTTTGTCATCTGTCACCACTGAGAACAGTCTAGCTCCATCCTTTTTGTAACCACCCTTCTGGTAGTTAAAGACTGCTATTAAATCCCCCCTCAGTCTTCTCTTCTGAAGGCTAAATAAGCCCATTTCCCTCAGTTTGTCCTCATAAGTCATGTGCCCCAGACCTCTAACTATTTTCTTGCTCTCTGGTCGACTCTCTCTAACTTGTCCATGTCCTTTTTGTAATGGGGGGCCCAAAACTGGACACTGTTCCAGATGTAACCTTACCAGTGCTGAATAGAGGGGAAGAATCACTTCCCTCAATCTGCTGTCAGTGCTCCTACTAATGCAGCCCAGTAGGCTGTTAGCCTTCTTTGCAACAAGGGCACAATGTTGATTTGTATCCAGCTTGTTGCCCAGTGTAACCTCCAGGTCCTTTTCTGCAGAGCTGCTGCTTAGCCAGTTGGGGCCAAGCCTGTACCAGCGCATGGGATTGTTCCATCCTAAGTGCAGGACTTTGCACTTGTCCTTGTTAAACCTCATAAGATTTCTTTTGGCCCACTCCTCCAATTTCTCTAAATTACTCTGAATCCTAACCCTACCCTCCAGTGTATTTACTGCTCTTCTCAGCTTGGTGTCATTCCCATTACAAAGGCTGTGAAGAGGGTAGGGTGGCTGCTACCTTCCCTTTTTCACTCTATGGTTTCTGATTCTTTGCCTGAGCTTAGGTGCAGGCTTTTTGCCAGCCTGCCGGGCTCTTTCTGGGCTTTGTGCTTTTTTCTTTCGGCGTATAGGTTGCCTACTGGTGCCTACTTGTTTCCAGTAGTCCTGTCACTTTTCTCTGTCTCAGAGAGTTCCCTCTGCTCCGGCACCACCTCCATCTTGAAGATAGGACCGTCTTCAGTTTCTGGGGCATATGAATCCCAAGGTCTCCGGGGCTAGGGTTGCAAATAGGATGCCTTCCTGGATTTGTGGAGTATCTGAAGATCCAAACCAATAGGTCTCAGAGGGAGGATACTTGCTTCGTGATAGCCACACAGATTTGATGATTGATTCAGTCGAATTCTGGAACTTGACTGTTGGCTTTGCCCAGTTGAATCTGGAATTGTTTTGGTCCTTGAAATAAAAAAAAGTTTGTGCTGCATATAAGTAGGTACCAAAGTGCTGTTCAAAAGTGTGTTTATGGAGTACCTGTGCTAAAACTTGCAGCAGTTTCAAAGAAGGTAATATGCATCAATCTTGGAAAAAAATAAATGCATGGGTACTATATGCAATGCTCCAGCCGTGTTTAATTTCCAAGCAATTTTCATTCTTTTCAAATTTGCTCCTCACTTCCATGTGATCAGGGAGAGTGGGAAGGGGCTACAAGAGGAAAATGTTTGGGGGAAGCAAAGAGCAAAGGACTACATGACCCCCCAGATTTATCTTCCCTGTTGTAGCAGTTGGAGGGCCAAATTCAAAGCAAACCTCCAATTATTAGATTCTGTGCTTAAGAGAATTATAACAAATTTATAAATTTTCCATATATAGAATTTAATTATTGGGAGGGTCATCTTATAATCAGGGTAATCTATTTGAGTTAATATGGTAATTTCTGCATTGTTTCACACCTGTTGATTGTAGGTAACTTATTTATCCCTTCAAAAGATTGTCGTCTTTGTATGGTTGTTGAAGAGCTTTTGTTTTTGTTGCATGCACTCCCCATCTGGAGGGCAGAATCTTTTGGCCAGCAGTGCCCTTTGGCCTGCGCTTTTGCCATAAGAGCTGTTAGACTCCCTCACTCCTGCCCAATTTGGCTGCATCCAGATAAACGTGGATGTCCAGTATGTGGCACCACAAACTCATCTGCTGCACCACACACCACACATGCAGGTGTTCCCTGCATTGTTAGCTTGCAGCAAGGGTGGGGGGTTTCTTGACCCTGAGAGATCCCAGGGTCAAAAAACCCACACTGAAAAAAAGCAGGGTGGCACACATGGCGGCAGCATGCGCTGCCCAAAACCAGAGCCTGGCTGGCTGGAGTCATACTCCAGCTGCCAGCCAGGCTTCCTCCATGGCTGCAGCCCCCAGGACCCCAGGTAAGGCTGCTGCTCCCCTACCCCACATGGGGTAACCTGCTGCGTGCCAACAGTGCACATGGCATGGGCGTTCCCCAGGGACAAGTAGCAGTAGCACAAGGTGTTGCTGTTTGTCCCTGGAGAAACAAACATCCACACTCCTCTGGATGTGCCTGTTGATGTCATGAAAAGGAAGAGTGTGGATCAACTGTCTCTTCCCTCTTTACTCTCCCTGGCTGAGAGCAGGAAATGTTAGCAGTGTCTTTTCCCTAGTGCCCTGGCATATTCAAGTTCTGCTTCTGATATATTTGGTGAGCTTTTGCAGATTAGGTATTGTAGTTTTGGGTTTTTTCAGTGTTTATATTAGGTTTAGTTGTGGTTCTTTTTTTAGGTGTTTTTCAGGTGCCAATACCAGTTTTTTGTTTTTGTTTTTTTCAGTTGAACAAAAATCACACTGTTAAATATTCTTCCTCATTTAAGATGGTCATTCCTTTTCAGGATGGCCACTCTGAGAGCCTACTTTGTTTGGGTGAGTAGGTCATTACCCAGTGATCTATTTGTTTATTTCCAAAATAAGCTGTCAAAGTCAGAAGCTAACTTCAAATTATTTTTCTTAGATAAATCAGTTAGGCTGGCCATTGATATAGGCAAGCAGTCAAGACCAATTTGCATCATAACAAACTTCAAGAATGTTTCCAACACAGCTACAACCTCTAGCCACTACTAGCACTTGAATTCCTGGCTCTTCCTTTCATTTGGCCAGAACTTTTTCTCAGAAATCCTGATCTAAAAGAGAGAGAGGTTTGGAACTGTGATTCTAGAGAGCATATGAATTTGGCACAATTTAGGGTTTTTTTTAGAAATAGATGAATCTCATCAGTCTTATTTAAGGGTAACATAAGACACATATGTGGTATCTCTAGTATCTTGAAAGAATTCTGTTCCATCATTTTGCTAATGTTAAAAGAACGGCTGTGTGTAGTCACGTCAACAGAAAATTCAGCTTTGCCGATGAAACTTTTTGTACTGAAAACTGGTTTCAATATTCACATCAGCTTCCTCAGTGTTGATATCAGTTGCATCTGTTTTTGCATTGATAGTTTCTCACTCAGTGATGTGATATGATATTGAGTTAAACAAAATGAGATTTAAGTGGCTACTTTGATTTATGTGCATATATTTACAAAGTACTGTTCTCTCAGGGAAGTATCTCTGTATGATCCCTGTTCTGGCATAGTTATATATATTAGTACATTTTTAAATATATAAATTCCAAAGACCCACATCATAACACTGAGTTGCCTTTTGAAAGTGACCAAAAATAGACAACAGAGACAATCATTTAAAGAGGGAAAAGTTACTTAACCTTTCAGTAAATGTGGTTGTATTTATTGTGTTGCCTGCATGTACTCCAGAACATGCTCGCCTTTTTTTTGCCCTTAAAAATACAAATTTTGATGTGGTAAAGGAACTAAATAATGTCTGGCCCCACTTTGTCATTTTATTTCTGTGGGGTTTAGAGCACAGCCACAGGCCAATTGACCCTGCGAGCCAAAAAGAAAATAAAAATCTGTTCTATGCACATGGACACACCTTGCAGTAGTGGAATGTATCTGTAGATACCAAATCTTAAAGAGCTATGATTACTTGACATAAATTACTTCTCCTTGAAGAAGGAGGTTGGAGTGCTACAATGTTGAAATCATTTGTGCAATTATGTCTAATAAAGAGAGAGAGCATGGTATATTGGAGTACTCGTGTGAGTGGGACTCAAACGTTTGGCATTGTTCATTTTATTCCTCACAGAAAATCAGCAATATAAACACATTTTATTAAAATCCTGATTTGGTGATCAGATTTAAAGTTTTGATGTTTGTTTTCTTTCATTGTGATGGTAGGAAACTAAAGTTTAGAATATTTTAAGTACTTAATCTGCTTTCAAATAATAGAACGTCATTTGTTTCATTTGATTTTTATTTTCTTTTTCTTTTTTTATTTCAGTGACAATGACAAATATTGGAGAAAAAGGTAAGAGGTTTTTTTTTTTAAATAGGCTTGTTTTAAGTGGAATTCTTAAATCAGATTACTGTAATATAAATTCTGTTTGTAATACATCTGATATATAGTTTTAAATAAAAGGAGGTCATCATATCTTGCTTCATTAAATGACCTGTGTATAAGAGTGTTTGTTTTTCACAGATCAAATATGTTCAGAAAAATAAGGAGATTGGTCTTTTTATTAGCTCTCTGAACCATGTATCTCTTTAGTTTTGTTGAGACTTCTGTATACATACTGTCTTCTTTTAGGCCTTTTGGAATATAGTACTTTTTAAATATGAGTTTTGGTGAAAAGATTAAAAAATGGCAGAGTATTGAAGCCTGAAGTCATCTAACCAGAGAACAACAGTAGCAATGAAAGCTCCTCCACTAGGATAAGTACAGACAGTCAAAAAGCCCAAGGCTGAATTGATTTAGTCTTTGCAGGTTAGTTTAAGATGTACAGATTACATTGAAACAGAAGTGATCAGACATTTACCTTTGAGTCAGGAAATGCAGCCACATGCCTGTAGTGGCTCAGGCCTGAAGCCAGGGGGGTGCTAGAGCATGGCTGTCTGGCTGTGTGTTTACTACTTCTTCCTGCTGCCCTCAGGGTCTCTAGGATTTGCAGTCCAGAATTACATCAGCAGGACACTACAGGATTGCTCATTACTTCCTCTTTCTTCTTCCAGATGCCTCTGAGATTTGTAGTCCACAGTTGTAGCCAGCAGTAAATTTGAGTGGGGGAAGGGGTGTTTAGTCCCCTTCCCTGGCCCGAGACCCCAGCTGGGGTTTGCCTGGGGGGGCAACCCCTCCCTAGATTGGGCTGCATCCTCCCCCCAACCCCCTTGTCATCCAGCCCCCACTGTTCCAGCTAGGGATTGGAGGGACAGGGCCAGCCCTGCTCTCTGGAGCAGACAGCCCAGCCCAGGGCTGCAAGCCATGCTTGGGGACTGATTTAACTTGAATAGGGAAGGGGTCTGGAACAGAAGTTTCATAAACTTGTTTGACCCAAATCAGTTAAATCTGATACTACATTCAGTCAGGTTCATTTTAAACCAGGTTCAGCCATTTTGAGCACTGAGCTTCTGTTCTGTTACAGGTTTAAACCAGTTTATGATCACTTAAACCAGTTTATGTGTAATTTCTGTCCCTAGCCCTAGTGACTGACCAAAAAGATCTATTTATATTGAGTAAGAATAATTTAACTGCACCCATTTAATCATTGGCCAATAGAGATGCAGTTCAAATGTGAAGCCTTTTATGTGGATATCCATTTCAAAGATTAATGTTGTTTCAGTAAGATTGTCAGGCTTCCATGAAATTGGACTTCACATGCCTAAAACATTTGATATAGAAGCTGGAAATGAAATTAAGGAGTGGATGGGCAAAGATTGTGGAACTTGGATTAAATATAATTTTCTTCTATGGGAAACTAATATTTTGAGTTCACCTTGTGTTCCAAAGTACATGTTTTACAAAAACAAACATTTCAGAAGTTCAAGTTTACAAATATCAAAATTGTATCAACTTAAACTGATTTGTTGAAACAGTTTTTTTCATTTCAAATTTATAGTTGGGAACAACTTAATATCAGAATATCTGTTCAAAACAAATATCTATTACAGTTCTCCCAACTGGAATAATTGAAACACTTTTGGCAACATTAACAATTTTTTTCAGCAAAACTCCCTTTTCTGACTGAAACTTTTCAACCACAAATTTTCCCCAAGCATAATAGTAACACTATTTGCTTATCATCAACTTGATTTGAGTTAGATATTGGAATTCACAAGTTTAGGGAGGGGAAAGAAAGCTTGCAATAAATAACTGAACATGCTTCCTTCCAACTTTTCAGAAAAAAGGCTGAATGCAAGCAAAAATTCAGCCAGAAGGATTCTGTTGGAGATGTAAACCTTTTGAAAATACAGTAAAAATGCCTGCTCAGCCGTCAATGGAGTTGCTACCTCCAGGTTTTAATACTTTGAAGTCTATTAAAATAGAATCTGGGAAGGCAAGCAAGGCAGCACAGGGATGTAGAAGGTTTTTTTTTCTTTTAAAGTCTTTGTTCAGGTGCTGCTTGCACCTGTGTAACTTCAGCAGTTTTGTGTATTGCACATTCACAGTCCTTACTGAGGGGAATGTGTTTTGTCAATTCAGAAATAATTGATTAGAAAATAATCAAATTTTATACAGGTCATGATTTTCCCTAAATTACTTTCTGGTAATGTATAAGCTTAAGCAGATCTGCTGTTCCCCACACATGGTTTTCAATGTTCCCCACACATGGTTGACATATTATAAAAATGTCAGGGAATTTTCCTACCCTTCCAGGCAAAGAGACCAAATGACAGCCAAAATTTTAATTTATATAGGCCAGGGGTTGTCAAACTTTTGTAGGAGCTGTCTATCAAAGTATTTATATAGGTAATAACTTATTGGTGACAATAATTCCCCTGCCTCCCATACTGCAGCCCCAACGTTGTGTGTGTAGCCATGCCTATACTTAAGAGTGTTAAACACTTCATGTTAAAAGTTTCTATTGGTGATAACTTAAACAAACTTTAACAGTCCAGGGAGAAATTTCCGATGCTGGCTCTCTTTTTCAAGCTGAATATTTTTGGCAAGTTTCAGCAAAAAAAGTTCAACTCTTTCCATCAATACAGTTAGAAGAAAAAATTCTGCCCATATTAAAACACTTTTTATGACTGTTTTGTTAATAACTGCAGCACCTCTGTGCATTGGAGCAAGGACTTTACATTTTGGCAGGTGGATTGCCTTTGTTTCAGGGATATACCTTTTGCTGTTTATATGAGAAACTAAAAAAATATGGACGTGTTACAGCTGAGAGAAGGGGACAAGAGTAGAAGAGGCTAGGGTGAGGGGACTAAGGGCAGAATGGTACAAAACACTCTCCAAAACCTGAAGTGAAAGCCAAATGCCTGAGTTTCATTATTTTTTCCATTGTCAGCATTTGCTTCATCTCCCTCTATTGCTGGTCATGTAGATGTGGTATTAGATATTCTGTTAGCTTAAGTTTCAGAGGTCTGTGTGATGGATCTAAAGATTCCAACCACATAGCTATGAATAGATGGATTAAACCCCATTAAAAATGTGATGATTGCAAGAGTCAAGTGCTCAAAGTTTAAGACTAGCCAGAATTAAGGTTGACAGTGAAAAGTTAATTCAGTGCACTTATGCATATGCATTACAATATAGACCCAGTTATGTGATCATATGCTTCCTCCTCCCTCCCTCCCCTCCTCCCACCCAACTGGAACCCGTGTCATTTGGTGAAAAGGGTAGAATCTGTTTGGAGAGTAAATTGAGGCTGTCTGTCTAGTTTAACACAGAATTGGGAAGGTGCATAATCAAAGAGGTGGCGGGGGATTGCAGGAGACAGGAAAAGTCTCATAGTTAAGGCAGTTGAATGCTGTTTTGGAAAACTGAATTCTGGTCCTGCTTTCATCCCAGAGTTCGTGTGCGACTCTGTGTATATCATTTGAACCCAACTTCTCACTTCAGGTTAATAATTGTATTTCTTATTTTCTGGGTGCCCAGCCTGAGATTTGTAGAAATGGTGAACACTCACAATTGCAGCTGGAGTCTGAGAGAGACCTGCTTTGAAAATATAAAAAGCTTTATAATGTGAGGCACTCTGAAAAAGTAGGGCCTAAGTATCTCAAATTGAGCACTTGCAATTTGTAGACTCTTCTGAACTTTCCCTTTTCCCTTCATTTGCCTCTTTAAAATGGAAATGATGTCATTACCTCATTGCATTGGAGTGTTTGTAATGATAAATTAATGTTAGGGAAGCACTCGGATGCTACTGTGATAAGCACCACAGAAAACCCCATGAGAAAATTAATGGAATATGAAGAGAATGCAGTAAGTAAGATGTATGGTCACCCACTGTTCAGGAAAGATGAAAGAAAATATTGAGTGGCTACTGTATAGGTGATTACAATCTATTTGTTGCCATGAAGGAAGCAGTGGTTATGAGGGGAAGAAGTGTGTGCAGTCATGTATGTGGTGGATCTGGGACATTGAAATGGGGAATTCAGATGTTGTTACATATAACAACACATTTTTCTCAATTAAAAAATAATTACAAGCTTTACTAATAAGCTAGGGACTCAGGAGCTGTATTATTCAATTAAAGATTGTATGGCACTGAAGTATGGGGCTATGCCACCAGTAACGATGTAGACATACCTCAGAATAAGTTTCTCAGGGCTCTTCTGGGTCTTCCTCCTTCAACTCCCACATCCTTCTTGAGATTAGAGATGGGATTAGATTCCATGTTAACTAATATTATTAGATTGGTGGGAATCTGCTTTAAAATCCTGCCTCTTTTACCATCTCACTTGCTCAAATTGTGCTATATAGAAGACATCAGTAATCCCCCTTCTCTTCAATCTCCCTGGCTAGCTTTTCTCTCCTTCACTTTTGCATTTTCTGGGATGGGACACTATATCAAAGACAATGAAAGACTCTTCTCCCCCATAGAAAACGTCCGGGTTTTCCAGAGGTTCCAAGACTGAAGCAAAACCAAACATACCTTTTTTGGAATGTGCACGAGCTTGCTATGTCATATGTTGTTTATGAAAACACAGTAAACAAAGCAAAATAATCAAAAGATGTTGTTTCATTAGTCCCAATATCATTAGAATTGAATAAATGTCTCTTTTAGACTCATAAAACAAAATCTAGCCTTCTTGAGCATCTTGATATTGTGTCTAATGCTTCGCTGAAAGTTATTTCCACACCTGAGTTAATATTTTTAGCTAGAGTTAAAAACTAGGCCTGTGAGAATAGGAAAGTATTTGATTCAGATTCGGATTTGGCTGATTCAGAGGTCAGTGATTTGATTCAGTGATTCAAATTACTGTCCCCATTCGATTTGGCCGAATCAAAATTAGATATTAGGCGCTGA